CCCTGAACCTCCCAAAACCGTGAACCAACTCACAAAACCTAACACCCCCAAATCCCTAAATCGCGAACACCCTGCCCTCAACCAACCCCCTTAACCCTAACACCCCCTAAACCACAACAATCCCAAACCCTAAGCCCTAAACCCTGAACACCCTCAAACCTAAACCCTAAACTTCCACCTAAACCCTAACACCCCCCTAAACCCTAACAATCCCAAACCCTACGCCCTAAACCCTGAACACCCTTAAACCTAAACCCTAAACTTCCTTAAGCCTTGCACCAACCCCTTAAAACCTACAACTCCCAATTCTGAACACCCGGAAACCCAAACCCTAAACGGCAAACCTCCCTGAGCCCTCAACCAACCCTCTTAAACCTAACACCCCCTAAACCACAACAATCCCAAACCCTAAGCCCTAAACCCTGAACACCCTTAAACCTAAACCCTAAACTTCCCTAAGCCCTAAACCAACCACCTAAACCCTAACAATCCCGAACCCTAAGCCCTAAACTCTGAATACCCTCAAACCTAAACCCTAAACTTCCCCTAGCCCTGAACCAACCCCGTAAAACCTAACACCAAACAAACCCTAACACCTCCTGAACCCTAACAATCCCAAACACTAAGCGCCCCGTGATCCCTAATTGGTGAACACTCTGAACCCAAACTCTATCCCCCCCGCCTCGTTTTGCCTGCGGTCGCGAAGTCTCCCGAGTATGTACACTGGCAAGCCGTTTGCCTGCCGGCACAAGGAAAGAGCTGCTGGGTGCACACGGGTTGCACGGGTTAAGGACTAGGGCGAACCAGGCAGGATTGAGAACCCCTAGGGTGACAGGACTACCTAGAACCGCCTAATCTTATTAAACCTTACCGCTTCTATAATGCTTGGCGAAGCCACACAAAATAGGGCATTTATGGGGGAAAAGGAGAGGCAGCATGCAGAGCCACCAAACGGGAGGTGTAGGAACGCAGGATGGCGATCTTGGCCCGCGAAGAGGGGGTAAGCTGCTGGAGCAGCAGCTGTGCCGCCACTTCCTGGAGATAGAACTACACTGTTTTAAGTTTGCTCCAGCGCCCTCTCCAGGCAACAAGTTGGACGTTTTCAGTTTCAAGATACAGAAAAGTGGCGCCAGAACCTTTAAGAACACCAGGCGTGGCCCCTCTTGCTTGCTGCGTGTGAGGCACGCCCAGGTGGGCCATGATCGAGTTCCACTGCCTACGGTACGTGTGCAAGGAACCACGAAAAAGTTTGTCTTGCAGAGGTAACTGTCCATATCTGGATTCAAGAAACTTAAGAGCCAACTCATCGTCGAGTCGGGCGTGCTGGCGACGAGCAAACCTCGCTGTCTTAGGGTTACGAACGTGAACGTAGGCTATGCGATCGACAGTCATCGCATCAGCTGGAAGAATCAAATCACAACGATGCAAGGCAATGAACTCGGCGGGGTGCAGCATGCATATAAACCCTATCAGGGTCACGGCGACCCAATCCCCCCAACCCCAAAGCAAACCTAAACTCACTGCCGCTTGGAGGATGGGTTGGGAGATGACAGGACGGCATTCCCCGGGTTCAGCGTGCTGCCACTTCTTGTCGATCTGCCAGGCAGGTGTGAGGTGATTACGGTATTCCGGGCATGCATCCTGAACAGCAGTGATAGCATAGACCAGCAAGTAACGAGGCAACCCTGCAGCGTACAGGTGAAGACCAAAAGCTCGCAGAGCCATGGCGGCAGCAGAAATGGAGGACAGAGCCTGGCTCAGAGAGAGTCCAAGCTCCTCACGGAGCCAATGAGCGAAGGCATCAAGACTTTTGCGCATCTTATGCTTAGTGGTCGCTACAAAGCCGGACGAAAGGTCGAGAGGACCACGAGGCACAGGAGCAGGTCCAGGGTTGCGTTCTATGTCGCCTCCCAACAGCAACAGGAGACGCAACCATCTGGCGGCTTGCTTGGGCACAGTGGAAGAAGCAATGCAAACGTCAAAGCGATGGTAGTCGCCAGCGCACAACTCTTCGAACCACAGCGGCGTTGGCTTAGACGGGGGGTCGACGGGACGACCCCGAGACGGACCGTCGCTGCGGTTCGCCCCGGAGTACACGTGCAACCCGCCAGGGTACAGGCCACCGCCGAGAACGTAAGGCAAAGCAGTGCGTAAAACATGTGCCAAGGCTGGGCTGCTGGAGCGGCCCTTTGCCGCGGCGCCTAACAGCACGCGACTGTCGATCAAACCCACAGGCCGTGAACGACGGTGGTGCTTGCACAAAAACTTGAGCCACGTTTTGTACGTGCGCGTCTCCTGCACATTTATGTGATTCTGACGGGCAAACTTATACCTGAGAACCTCCCGGAAAGGCAAAGACTCAGCAAGGTCGTTGATCCACTCTGGGTCGTCGTGGAACGGGCGTGAGTCAACGGGGACTTCGCTGAGGTCAGGCAGCTCACACGCGGGCACCGAAGACAAAGCGGACACAGCTGAAGCCCGCAAAGACAGTGGCAGAACAGGAGACTGGCCGTCTTTTGCCTGGCGGCTGCCAGCCGCCATTCGGCGGCACAGTGGAAGCGGGTACGAAGCCGAAAATGCAGCGACAGCTTCGCCCAAACAAGGTGCACGGCCGAACACGGCCTCCGCGGAAGGTTGGCAGCGAGCATTGAACTCGGCGAGGTACGCAGGAGTGAAGGTGCCTTGAATCACAAGATGCTTGCCACGGTGAGCACAAGAACAACCTCCGGCCAGAGGTATGAGCCAAGGCTTGTTGTGGAGCCATTGCATCGGCTTGTTAAAAGGCGACCCAAAGGAGCAGCAACAGAACCGCGTCAAGACGGCACCAAGAGATGCAAGCACGACAAATATGTGCAGTCGGAACATGACAGATGACCCCGGCTGTTCCACACAAAGAAACCCCCTAACCTAGCAACCACGCAAAACAAGAACCCCGTGCGTTGGGCCATGCGATTGTGTTTACGGGTAAGGGGGTCATTAGGGTTAAACCCGTGAGGTCTAAGCTTAGATCTAAGGCGTGGTCGCCTAAGGGTACCGAAGGTGAGGCAGGGCGGTGCGCCGTGCCATTCCCGGACGACACGGCGAAGGGCCAAGCTCAAAACCTCATGGAACACCGTATCATCAAGTATGTCCATCACACGTAGGCTGCGGCCAGCCAGGTCGATGCCGGGGTGAGTTTCCAGACCGGCTGCACGGTGAGCAGAGGACCAGTTGCCCTCACCGGAAAAGAGTTCAACCGTATCGAAAAGCAGGCCCTCGAACAAGTGTCGAGGCACCGGAGCTGTGAACCCCGAAAGGGCAGCAGCAGGAGGGATATCATCAGGTCCAAAAGTGGCCTCGCAGTTGAAACCCTGCTCCCGAAGCAAGGCAGCTGCAGGGGACCCCAGGCGAGTGTAATACCCTTTTTGTTCAGTATGCCTCCACAATTCCTGAGCGACATGAACCGGTGCGTCGGCGACGCAAAGGCCAGCGCCTCCAGGCGAAGCGTCCATACAGAAGATGAAAGGTAGGTAGGAGACTCGCAAGTCGGCTTGGAATAAGGGCGCGAGCAGCGAAAGCGATTGCAGTTCATTAAGTGTTTTGCGGCCCAGCTGGAATACAAGGTCACGTGGCACGTGACAAGCGTCCTGGAAACAGGAGGACAGAAGTGAAAATGCCGGGCGGCGAAACATCAGAACGTGAACCCATAAACCAAGCAGCGAGGACAGCATGCTGGCTGAACAACAACCGCGGCGCGCAACCTCTGCCGTGATCAGCATAAGCACACCGATGCGATGCCTGGGAGCAGAGACCAGGCCGGCGAGGCCGTCGACATCCGCTCCGAGGTAAACTCCGGAACTCTCATTACGCTTTCTTTTGCGGGGATGCTGCACTAAGCGCACTGCAGTGTACGCCCGCTCAGCGTCACGGAAGATTTCCGTATCCCGCTTGAAAGTTTGCTGCCGATGCTCTGCAAAGGTCACCTTCTGGGCAACCAGATGGTCATCCACAGCAAGATACTCAGCGGTTGGCCCCCGAGGGTATGGGGCGCGGTACGCAGCGATCTCCGAAGGTCGCATTGCATTTGCAAGGGTGGCGAGAACTGTATGGTGAGATTGTTGAGCAACCTCTACAGCTAATGAGTCCCCCATAGCCATTGTGGCTAGGCACACGTAGAATGGGCCAGGACCCAGGCTGTGATGGAAAGCCTTGAACCCTTGCACGGCACTCCTGGGCAGCGGCATCCGGATGGCGTTGCGTGTGGCTCTCTGATGTGGCACCTGAAACGTGTAATAAAATTCGGAAAGATCATCACAGCTCAGTCTGAGGCATTGATCAGGTTCCAAATGTGTCTGGCCAAGCAAGCAGCCGGGAGCTAAGTATTTAGTGTAATGAGAATACCCATGGTTCCTGGAATTAACCACTGTGGGGTTTAAAATGAGGCGATCCCAAGACCTATCCTTGCTGATGGCGAAGAGACCTACAGCTTCATGACTGTCAATGCTGTCACAAGGAATGATCTTGAGGGCACCCAAAGAATCCCATTTATAAGCAAGTGCAATCAACTCAGACTTTGAACAACGCACTTGAGCAGCGGGAAGAGAAGGCCAAGTCTCGGGTGGTTTCCGCAAAGTGTCGGGATTGATGAATGCAGCTCTCACAACTGGATCAGGTAAGTAAGGAATGGGATTGAACGAAGGAGGGTGCTCCCATTTGATCCTACTTGCCACGACTTCTTTGTAGTGAGTACTGGCAGACACTTTACATGATCCGAGTGCATTGCTGGCCGGAGTCACGCACTGAGAGTCAACGTCATTGGGTTCCGTGGTTTTGGGAGGTTTGCAGGCGGGTGCAGGTGCAGGAGCAGACCCGGAGCCGTAATCATCCCAAGAAGATTGCAATTCACAAACTAATTCGCGAAGGTCCACACCTGATAATGGGTTACCCATTTTAGGTAGTTCCTGAGCCAACGACAACAGGTGTGCAAAACGATCCTCAGACCTGCCGAGAAGAGAGGACTCAAAAGAAGGAGCTCGCACAAAATGTTTTATGTGGCGCTCCAGCACACACTGCATGTCGAGCTGATCAGCAGACACTGGCATCCCGGCCCGAGCTTCCGCGGGGCAATGCAATGGAGATCCCAATGCAATCCAGTTAAGGGTACCTATAGCAACCCTAAGAAGATCATGGATAAGTTGGAGTTCCCTCATCTTGCGCCGGCGGCGGGGGGAGTAGTGCCTCAGGTGCTCTGTCCATCGCCGGGGAGGGGGACAGGGCCACAGCGATTTGCCTGAATTGGATCCAAGCTGCGCATTGCAGGCTGTGGGGCAGCAAGGTTTGAAGGATTCAGCAAGGAAAGCGCTTAACCCAACCCTAGCCGACCCCGAAATTCTTAAAAAACTAAGCAACCAAACCCTAAACAGTTGAGGGGAATCAGGCAGGTGCAGCGGCATGTGATCCAACTCAGGCGGCGCAGAGGAAAGCCCAAAAGGCACATCCCCACGCGGAAGGTTGGTGGCCTCAGCTTTGGTAGCAGGATTCCCAGCAGCTCTCGGAAATGAATTTAAACATGCAAAGTTAGAGCCAGCTCCGGGCTCATCAGCAAAAGGGCCCCCGCGCTCAGCGCAAGGGGTTTTATACTTTACAAATCCCGGAAAAGCTTTCTCAGCTTTCACTTTTCCGCCTTGTCCGTTGGCTTGTCGGCGAGGGCCTTTGGCCTCCGCGGCGGCCGCCTGGGCGGCTTGGGAGCTTCTTCCTGATCGTCGGCTTTGTCGCCGGTTTTGTCGGGCTGATTCGCAGAGCGGCCGGGCTTCATTCGATTCTCTAGGTAGTCCACGTCCTTGAGGAAAGCAATCTGAGCTGCCATCCATGGGGCAGCGCAAAGTTTGCCAAAAGGGCGCAGGTCGGTCCTGCGAGAGGACAGGTGAGATACATCGATGTCCGGCAACCCACTCAGAAGGAAACCCAGTTGAGTTCTGCCCTGGTCGATCGCGAACTGTTCGGCCATCACCAAGCCCCTGGCTGCCCATGCTTCGCCCAACCGGTTGCCTTGGCGCCTGCACTCTTCCCATTGAAAGGCCAGAAAGAAAGCAAAGATTTGCACGGTCTTCAAATCTTTCATGGGGATCTTGCGTTCGGTGTACTGACGCATCATCCCTGGTTCCTGAGTGCTGAGGCCAAGTTCCAGCTGAGCCCGGCGGGCCACACCATCGGCGAAGTCGTCCATGTGCTCGAAAATGCGAAGGAAAGCATCGCGAGCTGCCATGCCTTTGCAGGAGCTGCCTGTGCCGCTGTCCCCGGCGTTTGGCGTTGACAATGCCGCCCGCAATCGGGTCCTGGGGCTTGGGATTGGACAGCTTCTCCAGGAGGGCCGCCTGAGTAGAAAGCAGCTTGAGGATCGCACTCTCCGAAGTTGCCGGCACTTGCAGTTCTCCAGCTCCGAGCTCCTCCTCCAACAGGCCGGCGTCCGTCGCCGAAGTTCTCGGGGCTCTCTCGTGGCCAGCAAGGCACGCCGGCGGGGCACCGGCTGCTGCCCGCAACTTCTGCCAATCCTCCGAACTCAAGAACCCTCGCCCGTCTCCAGCAAAGGCCTTGTCTGCCTGAATCCCCGCAAGGAAGGAGGTGCAGCCCTCGTCGCGGTCTGCGCTGCCTCGAGCTGAGCCACGCGTGCGCGAAGAGCAGCCACCAGATCTGGGTCGTTGTCGCCCAAGTCGACGTCCTCGTCTTGAGGTTCCTCCAGCAGTTCCTCGGCTGTCGCGTATTCGAGAAAGGTGGCGTCGCTCAATTGCTCGGTCACCCATTCGTCGGCAGCATCTCGAGCCGGTCCAGGCATAGGTTTGACAGCGTTTCCTTCGTGGGTGATGGCCAGCAAGGTACCTCCAGATGAAGCTCGGCTTGCGGTGGCACGGCGGAAATGCACCAGGTGAGGCCAACTCAAATCGGCCAGCAGCAAGGGAACCTCGCGAACTCTGCGCCTCCGGCTGGTCTCGCAACTCACTGCCACTTCCTTCCAGACAACAGGCAAAGCGCCGCCTTCCGAGACATCGGCTTCTTCCGAAATCGCCGTGAAGAAATTGACAACCTCCTCCAGGAAGGAGGCGGCAACCATAAATCCTCCAGCGCGGCATTTCAGTAAAAAGGCTGTTGCCCGCCAAGCGGCTGCGTCGTCGTCCGGCCCGATCAGGTACAGAAGGGGCAGCGGCTTCCCAGGTGCATCCTGCGCCAGAAGGGCCCTCACGCCCTCCTGGCTCAATTCTGTGCCAGCAGCTCGGCCGGCCATGTCTGGCCAGCAGCCGAGCAATAAGCTTCGGCTTCGGCGCGCGAAGCGAATCCGTGGCTCAAAGTTCCGGAGCGGAACTGCCCAGTCGCAGGATCACTCAGGCAAGCAAAGTACTTGCGATAGCTGGATGTGTAGAAGCTTCTCGGCTCGCACCCAGACCGCAGAACGATGTACAGCCGATTGGATAAAGGCACTGGCGGAGATCAAACCACAAATTCAGTCTCACCCCTCAGTACGGCAGCTGCAGCCAATCCTGCACGCACTGCTCTAGCAACCCTGGCTCGAGCCGTCCAGGGGGCACTCGAAACGTGAAGCTGCCTGACGAAAACCGAATGCGGGCCTAAGTCCACTTGATCCAGCTCGCGCGGCTCTCTCGCTTGCAAAAGCGCCTGCTCCCACTCCCCCACTGGAGGAGAAGCAAGGGGTACTCTGGCTGGCCCGGACGAAGCAGGCTCAGGACTTGGATGCGCCCCTGAAGGAGACGAGGTCGATGCAGCCGAAGTAGGCGAAGAGACTGCTGAACGCCGACGACGCACAGTCAAGGACAAATCACCAAGGGCGAGCTCAAGCTCCTCAATCTCACTATTGCTGGCACCGCCTTGCATTCAAGAAGACCTGTACTCACGAAGTCTGCGCAGGTGATCCACTCTAGCAAGCGCTGTGGTCGTGATGGGCCCCTCGAAAAGCAAGACCACCCAGCTAGCAATGAAAGAGATAGCCCTCCTGCACTGCCTGCTTAGCAGCACACAGCCCAAGCACAAACCTGTGCTCAATCCGCAGCAGAAAAGCGCAGCACCAGCTAAGACCAGTAAAGCAGTTGAAGGGCAATATTGCGGAGGGCTCCAGAATCTAACTTCCCGTGCTATTTCAGGCAGGCCAGCCCACATAAGCCAAAGAACTGCGGAAGTCTCTCCCTGCTCCACTCCTCAAGGGGATACTGGCAAACCCTAAACTTCCCTGAGCCCTCAACCAATCCCCTTAACTCCAACAAGCATAAACCCTAACAATCCCAAACCCTAAGCCCTAAACCCTGAATATCCTCGAACTTTAAACCGTAAACCCGACATTTCGCTAAGCCCTTGACCCTAAACACACCCAAACCCTAAATGCTAGCCACCCCCACTCTGAAACCTGAAGCCTAAACATCCCCAAGCCCCCTAAACCCGGCTCGAAACCCTAGCCAAAACTCCAAACTCCCACCAAACACTAAGCCCTATCTGAACCCAGACCCGCCCCCAAACCCTTCAAGCACCCCTAATTGGTGCTGGAATTAGAGTTTGGCTCTGGAATCGGGGCCTTTTGGTGCTTGAATTGGAGCCTTGCGGTACTTGAGCCGGAGCGGTGAATCGGGCGGTGGCACCGCCACACCTCCCCCAACCAACCCCCTATCTCTCGTTGTTTTTTCTTGCCAAATGTGTCAGGATGCAGCCAGCAACCACCCCTAGCTTCCCCGTCCCCTCCCCACCAGCCCCCGTTCCCACCCCACCAACCTCCGCCACCTGCGAATAGAAGGACGCCACAGAGAACTGCCTGTGTGTTGTGATGCCTTTTTGAATGAACTTTTTAGGGGCGAGCTGCAACAAGAAGCCGCCCGAATCGAAGGGGTCATCACTTTTCGTGCTGCAGGCCTAACAGCAGAGTGCAGCCTGGTCGTGAAGCCAGCACCCTCAAAGCTTGGAATGCCAAACGCAATGTTGGACCATCTGAACCTCTGGACCTGACCCTGCTTCAGAACGGCCTTCCTGGGCCTGGGGTCAGCCAGGTCTTTGCGAACTTTGCTCCGTCGACGCACAGGAGTGTCCAATGAACTGCCGGTACGATTTCTTTTGCAGTATAATGGCAGACTGCAACGCATGGTCCCTCAGAGCGGCCGTCACGACTGCAACAGATTTAGACCAAAGAGCAGTTGCTGTCTGACAACCATATCGGGGGTATTGCTTGTGGATTCAGGAATCACGCTCTGAGATAGGCAAATTCCATGCGATCCCGCCCTCCAACATCCTCCAGCAACTACTTGAACTCGAAGCATCCATATACTATAAACCCTCGAACGATTGGCGGGGCGCACATGCGTGTAGCGATGCCACCAGTTAGTTACTCTGATTGCCAGCAGTCAGGTTGGGTAAGGTGCAAAGCTTTTGGCATAGGCTCTCCAGCAGACGTGCACATGTGGCGCAGGCTATTGAATTGTGAATTTCGGGAGCTGAGATGGGGATTCGCTATTCAACAAGTGAGGACATGTCGTGCTGCAGTAGAATTCACCGCGAATAACGCGCCAGTAGCACAAGCGCAAGGCAGCCCCAGCGGCCGTCTCATCTGTGAGGCCGAGTGAGTCTAGCCTCATGTCTTTGATGACTTGCTGCAAAGCGCTCTTGCTAATTGCAATCATTCTTCATCATTTCCGGGGCCCCCACGTCCCCTCCCACTCCTCAATCGTACGTGGCTGGCCGTCCTGGCGTCGCCCGTACGGGGACAACTCACTCAACTATCTCACTTCCGAATCCAGTCCTTGTCCAAGACAAAGCCGAAGAGGTCGTCTGACGCATCCTGCTTGCTGCGTGTCTGAAGCTGTCAGATACGGTTCCCGAGTTGTGGGCAAATATGTGAAATTATATGAATGTTGATTGGAAGGAGCTATGTCAATCCGTCGCATTGCTGAGACCTAGTGCTGCCATCCATCTCGAATCCAGATCCCAGCGTGGGCCAGTGCTTTAGCTACACATAGCATCTCGTGGGCCCAATCCCAGGACCACATGAAGCTCCGATGCGCCAGGGTCTTGAAAGTATAGTCCTACAACCCTTGGCAGCTTTGTGGTTTCCCACCTGCGCTGGCCTTTCAATACAATCCATCATGATGAGAGAGTCTTCACATGTACATCAGAAGAGCTGGCCGCCGCAAGGCGAGCAGGATTAGCTCACGTCATTCTTGTTAGGCCATGTGAGGCAGCCGAATGAGTTAGCATGGTGCTTTTGTTGCGGGCTTTCGTTCTCAGTGGATCGCTCTGGACATAACACATGCCACGAATAGTTTGACTGGCAGGCAAGTAACCAGGAGCTACTGCTACCTGCTACGAAGCAGTAGAGGGGTGTGTACTGTTAAAGATTTCTGTTTGCCATGTTTTTATTGTAGTTTGCATCCATAGAGCCACTGCACTTGCACCCTGTGCAGGATGTGCAGGGAATTCGGGACAACGACCTCGTGACTAACATCCTGGCCTCCACAACAGCTGCAGAAGCTCGGTCTTCGCCTGGAGTTAATCCATTTCATAAGACGCAAAGCAAACCTGTGCAACGATGCAACATGATGCAACTGTCGAGGAACAAACTGGGGCTGTGTCCACGCTTTACCTGTGCATAGTACAAGTCGTCCAGCGTTGGCCTCTGCTACAGAATGTTGGCCCGGAAGGCCAAACAAGCAAGATATGGCCATGTCAATTCTAAGCTGTCGGCAGCACAACCGAGCACGACAGCTGCAGCGTTGTCAACAAATCAACCTGCCATTTTTGTTGGAGCACGGCTGCTAAGCCCTTGTTTCATCAGGCACCTTTTGGCGCTCAGCCAAGTGTTGCAACCCCTTTGCCAACGCCTTGGATGCGCGTACAATGTGCGCGCTGCCCATGGGCTGAACTAACTTGGGCTATGACCCAATCTGAAGGAAAGCGGACGGGGGCTGGCAGCGCTCGGGGATTGCGTGCCTCGTCCAAACCCAGCAGATGCCATTTCTTCTGCTGGGTTTGGTTGCTTTAGGCCAGATCTGGCATGCTGAGCTGAGTGCACAAGCAGACAAAGCAGTAAAAGAAGCGTCAGGAGGACGATGAAGCCACTCCTATTCGAGTGTGCTGCTAGTAGCAGATGTGCCAGGATGTTAGTTGTACAGTGGTTCGTAGGATGAAAACATGCACAGCTTCCAGCATTGCGGAGGGGCAGTCCTCTGGACGGATCTTGAAGCTTGCTGTCATCTGACCAGAAACTGCAGGATATAGGGCTGCCTTGTCGCCACCAAAAATACAAATGGCCCCCTACATGTACCGCGGGAATCTCAGCCTCTGGCGCACTGCACACCCGTGAAAGTCGGGGGCGTGACCCATACACCATTGGTGCTGAATTGCAAAGTCCCAGAAGGCACATCAGCTGCGCAGCCTATCACCACCTGCCATCTGAACCACGATGTTTTGATTCAGCAAAAAGTCACACGGAGAGCAACGCAAGCACCGAAGCGCCTCCTTTGTCCAGGAAGAGGGATAGCTTCCAGCCTACTCTTCAGCTTTGCTTGGCTTTTCCCTCCCTTCGGCAAATCTGAATCAAATCCTGCCTCGCCACCGTGCCAGATCTTTTGCCTCGTGCCTGGCCAAGTACGTCTCCAAGAGCAGGCATGTGACCTCGATCCCAGGGCCCAAGCCATCCACGCCCCAACTTTCCAGGTCGTCACCTGAAGCAGCGCATTGCCCTACACGCAGTGCTACGCAAACACATTGGTAAGAAGGCTACCCACACCGTAGAGCCATGTGTCTCCAAAGAAACGAAACTTTTCGGATGCCCAGCCTTAGGGCAAGCGTAATGACTCTGCGGCAATCGGTTGTCTGGAGGGTACTCACACGACGAAATGCTAGGCCGGGGCCGATTTGCGGCATGTCGTGTGACTCGATGTGAAGCTCGTAGTACACCTTGCGGGTGGCCCCTTGTACTGGCCGAGTGAGGCGTTCCTCCCGTGTGAGGTATTTATATTCCTTAATCTGCAGGCAAGGCCTTCCCACTGCTGTTCAGCTCTGGAAGGCCAACCGTCGTCCACGATGTAGAGACCCAGGAACACCCTTCAACTCGCACATCTTTTCCCCGAAGAAGACCTGTGAACACTTGACTGCAAAGCTAATCTTACATGCTCTGTTGCAGCAACGAAAACATGCAGGAAATGCTGACGGTGGGGGAAGTGCTGCTTGAGCTTCCACCTAGCTCATAGGCCTGTGGCACACCGTGGCACGCTCCAGCACGCTGTGGCACATGGCTTGGTCAACAAGTTCTCCAGAACCTCTGAGAGGCTCAAGCCGGGCTCCCAGCCAGGGTCGGCTTGGGCAGCCAGGCTCCCCGCGTCAAGATAGGCACAGGTGGCTCGTCATTGCCCGATGAGCACTCGTCCACATCTCAGTTTCAAGAATTCTTTGAGTTCGTCAGTTTCAGTAGCGGCCGTCACTCCATCTGAGCACAGCACTGAAGCGGCGAGTGATCCGCGACGATTCTGCACCCCGCCTTCAAACTGTTCACTCAACTCACTGAGGAAGACCCTGCAGGTGTGTTGGAATTGCTGAGAGAGGGGCTCTAGCGCCTGCAGGTCCTAGGCCAGTTCATTAGGAAAACACGGCTGAAAGCAGTATGTCAAGTGCACGCACGTTCACTTCAACTCCTGTCATTCCTGGAATTTCTGGGAGCCCTGGGGCGACTACCGCACGTGTCTGGACTTGTGGCTCCACCGGCGGGACGGGATACAGCCTGGGCCTCAGGCTGCAAGTTAGATTGAGGCGTCCGAAGCTGCAGCGAGGAAGGCCATCCTGTTGGCAAACAACTGAGGCAGCGGCCCCTCAAAGCCAGGCATATTGCGGTGCTTTCCAGTGGCCAAAGCTCCAGTCGCCAGGGATACATACAAAGAAGGGGCTTCTTGCACCACAACGGCTGGCATCCATGCCTGCAAACGCGAACTTCTGCTTGGCCACTACAGTTGCAGTATCTGAATCTTAATCCACCTCGGCCACTGGCCGACAGGTGTTTGGAACAAGCTGACCACGATCCAGCCTTCTCCCAATCTCCCTACCCTCCCCCCCACCCCAACATTATGTCGCTCACCCCTGCCCCCCTCAAAAAATCCTACCCCCAATGACACCCGTTCCCTGAACCCACCAAGATTCTGGCCCGGGGCGGGGTAATTAACGTTTTGACTTTTCTTTCCCCCACCCCACAACCCCTCACCCCCCCCAGCCTTACCAGACTCTTGAAACAAAGAAGACTTATCTGCTTGGCGACCTCTGGGCTTCCTTGCCAGCCCGGCTGCTGAGGCGGACGCGTGCTAGCGCTCACGAATATCATTTACTATCTTACTACCAACCAGCTATGCTGAAGTCTCACCCAACATAGCTTGGTTTGGGGGCCCTAGCCGGCCTGGATCCAAGACAAATGCGCAAAGTGACAACGCTCATCATTCCGACCAGGTCTTGTGTACGTACATCGAGAGCACAAGAAGATTCCTGAGCTAGGGACGTCTTGTATCTTGATCTCCACCAGGTCTCGCAGAGCGCTTTTTGCGCTGCCCTGTCCGACAATGTAGGAGCAATTCGAGTCAGCCATTCCACCCTTGTCCGGATCATTCTCACTTCGAGCTGGCAACTCCCCTCCTGCGGAATTTGCTGAATCCAATTCGGGACATGATCAAACCACATTACCCCTCTGCAAGTAATCAGCGGCGATCAGTTTCATGCAAAATTGAATCAAGCTTGCCCGAAGGCCATTCGCCATTTGCGCTGGAGCTGACTAGATGCGTCTACTTACGGACCCTCCGCCTCACTTACTTGCGAGGGGCCGCCTATTTCAAAGAAGGTGAATTTTGGCGGTCCACGTATTGCCATAATCACAATCCAGCTCAAACCATAAGCTTCGGATGCCTTGCCGCGGCCGGCCGAGCCTGTGGGATTTGACAGCGGTCACATCCCTTCAGCCCTCTCCAGCCCTCGATCTCCAGCGCCTTGCCCACCTGTTGCCTCTGGTTCCGCAACCACCTTCAGCCCCGGTCCCAGAGACTGCACGATTGAAAAACCTGTCTTTGCCGTGCTTGCCGAGGCATGCACCCGGCAGGCAACAGCAGCCATGAGCCGATCGGCAATGCGCGATGCTGAGCCTTGCGGGCTGCAGGGCCACACACCCGCTAGGGCCTAGAGCATGACTATGATGAAGATTTGGTGCTGGGAAGATCTGGGAAGCCGTTCAGAAGAAGGCACAACGTCGTGGTTCAACTTTGCGAAAGTGCGAAGTGAAACTGTGCAAACGCTTCCCAAGCATCCAACTGTGTGTAAGCCCTCGAGCAACTGCAGCTTCGCCTTTTGCAGCCACAGCCTGGCGTGGCACATCAGCTGCGGCAAAGCTGCCTACAGGCCGCCGGCCATTGACTGTCACCTTGTGCACGACTTCCAGCATTTCTTGTTCTCCGCCAGGCCAGCCTATCCTGTCATGAGTTGCATTGTAGACTGCGGTGGAAACCCCAAGGCTTCTTTAGCAAAATCATGTCATTCGTGGGAAAAGTTGGCACTGCCAACTTGTTCCACCATTTTCTCTATTTCAGAGGAATGGAAATTAGAAAAACAAGCTGGCGGGGGCAACTTTGGCGACTACCTCCAGAGAAAAAATGTGGCAAAAGTTAGCCTTGCATGCCCGGCCAACGGTTTCCAACATGCTACGATTGTCAAATCATGAGGTGGCAATCCTATGGTTTCTCATGAAATCCTGTAATTCGTGGACAGAAGAGTCCTGCCAGCTTTTTCCCCATATTCTCTCTCGAATTAGTGGAACAGGTTGGCCCTGCCAACTTTTCCAAAACTTCCTCGTTTTCCAGGTATCAGAACTGCCAATGTAGCCGGAATGACTCAGACCACTTGTTGGAGACACTTGTGAACGCGTTCTTCACGTCCAGCCTGCACGCACGGCTTACAACACCCTGTGAATCTTGACATGGCGCGCGAGACACTGAAACGAACTTCCTTGCAATTGCTTGCTAAGTGTAACACTCCACTGACTGCCACACCTCCAGAAGTTAGGCCGGCCAGCGCCGCAACCGCGTGAACAGGAAGACATGAGATCCGAGAAAACCTAGCTCTCGGCCAATTCAAAAGGCAGCTCGGCATCAAATGAGATGATAACCTTGTACAGTAGTTCGGTTGCATGCTTCACGGCGAATCTTCAGTGTGCAAAAAATCTCAGGCGCTGACGGACCATACGGAATCTGCCATGCCTGGCGGATCTGGCCTCGAGGGTCAAATGTCTCTGTCAACAGCATTCCGTGGCATACCGCACATGTCAATGAAACGCTGAAGAAGTGACGGAGGTGGCTGTATTGCCAAGTGAAAGAAAGCTGGGAGGACCTTAGCTTGTGCAGCATCATCCAGCTTCCTGTAGAGAGGGTTCAAAGCTCTTGAGCATTTTCAAGCTGATGACTGGCGCTACGTCTGGCGGGTCCCACCTTGGCATCCAGGAATTTGTCAAGGCTCGTTTGGCAAAGGATACTGACACTGTCCTCGCAAGCCTGAGTGCACTTTCTAAGGACGGGACAGCGTGAAGGAAGCATCTTCTTGCTCTTCCATGTCTCTCTGGCGCCAGCCAAACTGCTTGAGCCTCAGAATTGATTGGGTACATGATCAGCGCACTTCCGGTACAAGCATTGAGCTGAGTGCAGCGTGACTGCCGCTTCGTGCACGAGCATGCCATCGACAGACTGCGCCTTCCAGTCAGGATTTGTTTGTGCGACATCTGGCTGGGGCAGGATGGTATGAGCAAGACTTTGTGCAAGGCAGCTTGGCTTGTCACAGTTCATACATGTTGCTTCGACATGTTCCGAATCTTTCCAGAGCTCAAACTCAGAGCGGCTATGCCCAGATACTGGAGGGATAGAATTGACCCGCCAACCTGCTATCGGTGCCGCAGGAAAGGTTAGCACATTTAAATTTGAGTGCAGAGGTACCGCGGTGGCCTCTGCGAGTGATGTGCGGTGAGGCCAGGGGCTAACCCGTTTCAATCTCCCAGTGCCCCAGTTAATGTCATGTGCTCCTGCACAAGTGCACGCCTAGAAATGAACTTGGAGATGCAAAGCAAGCTGTATTGAAGATTGAGGCTTTTCAAACTACAGAAGGGCAGCATTGTGGACAACAGCTGACATACACGATAAATGTTGCTCCCCATTACCCGTAGCTGTCCATCTATCTTTATTCCAAAAACCAGGTCTACAACATGCATCGACCGTCTTATAATGAACCAGGTAAACACTGAATGAGGCAGTGGCGTCCCCCTACTGCACAGCTATCAAGGGTCCGTGCAGGTGCACTACTGGCAAAGACAACTTTCCTATTAAACCCTTAAACATTCCTGAGGCCGTGTCGATAGCATCAACAATTTCGTTGTCCTGCAGCATACATGTCCCATTTTAAAGCTGCCTCATCGTCTGACAACCACAGCATTTCAGTTTGCACGATCCTCCGCGGACACAACGGCCACACAGCATTGCTCGCAAAGGCTCGCAAGCGTGGGGCGCACATTAGCCTTGTGAGTCGAAAGCTTGCGCAGAGAGCAGGCAGGATACCATGCTATCCAGATCTTGCCTTCGCCTCAATTCTGAGAAGTTCCAAGTACAATGCCTGCGACTGACCGGTTGCCGGCTTGATGAGCAACTCGGGCAGCCCACCTCATCGTCGGGCTCAGACTGTACAGTCGAAGCCTTCCAAACCTGGCAACAGCTGCGATCCCAGCATCCAGCAATCCTCTCAAATCCTCCGCAACCCTCCACGTAACAGATGTCCTTATCAGCTGCCTCAGCCGGGGCTTCCTTGTAATCGCTTACCAAGCCCTGCACGTCCTTCGTGAAACTTGACCAATGTGTCAACGGCAATGCAACAATCCACCCTCAAGCGGTCCTCATTGCGCTCGATTGAAAAGTTCGATGCGCCACTACACTCCTGAATGAAAAGCATCTGGAACATCATACTTCAAGGCAAATTTCAATCTGAGCCTCCAAATCCTCGAACCTCCACTCGCCAAGAGCGAGAACATGTGGAACGAGGCCGTTGTCACCTGCTAGGGTGCCAAGCAGTTTATGCGTGTCACTCGGGGGTTCAAAATTCAGCGCAGCCATTTTTTCGACCACGGCTACTAGACATGCTACAACTGCAGAGATGGCACTGGGAGTTGTACCCCTTGAAGTCTGCCGGCCTGTGAGGCTTTTGTTACCCGAGCATGGCCGCAACAAATGCACAGGTATGCCGACCTGTGGCAGAGCCTTGCACAATGATTCCATTGATTTCCATCGTATCAAGTCCAGAGACGGAGCCTAAATGGACAAGGCATCTCAGCTTGCGACAACAACGCCCTCCACATGGTACATGCTGTTGCCCTGGAAGACTTTGCAACCGACGAGCCGCACGCAAAACCTTAGGTCTCTGCAACGGATGACAGAATGCATGCACCAGCAGCTTGGCAGCCTCTGCCAACAACCAATTTGATTTGGATGGCCTACACCGGAGCTGTATTGCGAGGGTCTTACGTGCTGAAGCTTAAGCTGAGCAGCCAATCCAGTCTCCCCTAGCAAGGTAGCTTGCGGAAGTTTGGAAGCGCAAGGCTCGGCGCAGACAGCACTGGGGTGTCAGGCGCTGGGCATTTCTGTCTGCAGCCGGAGCGTGGGCAAAACCCCACAGCGGGCCGACTGCGCAAGGCTTGCGTGCCCACAATTTGTCTCAAAACACCTTTCTTGTAGCCCCATCACACTTTGTGAGACTTTGCGCCATTCCTTGCGCTGTGCTACCTCGCGCGCGCGCCTACTTTTTGCCAAGTTAGGGATACTTAGTTTTCGTGATTTGTGTAAACTGTGTAAATCAAAGACAAGGGATTTTGGACAACACTCAAATGAAGCAACTGTGTGCATGTGGGACCCATATTCATGCTTCAGTCTGAAGGTTCGGCAATTTCTGACCGGAGGCTTGCCTCCGTGACTTTGCTAAACTCTCTCCCTGGCGACTGGCGATTCCGAAACATGCACTCTTGCCCTCACATCCTGTAACATGAATTACTTGAGCACCAGAACTGAGAAGGCAACCTCAGATAGTCCTGCACATCTGCGCTTTGGCAGCTAAATCCATAGAACATCAGCTATGAGTCGATTGCCATGTCCTCCATGCCCAGAAATCCTCCAGCAACGAGCAGCAGGCGAGCAAGACTTCCCATCGTCACCAAGGGTTCGGCTTGCACCTCTGTGGTTCGCTTTCCGCTTGCGGCGCTGGCATTACAGTGCTGTGCAATGAAGACTCTGAGATACACGCGACGTATTGCCCGCCATGAGCCACATCTTTTGTGGCCCCTTCGGAAGTGGTGGCAGCCTACACGATTGGCGGCCACGAAAGCCACAAATGTCATGAAAAAGAGTGGCTTGCTTGGGGTCTGGCAGAGTGGCAAAAGAGCCAGAAAGGCTCTGTCAACACCCTCAGGCTAACATCTTGCCGTTCACGGTACACGTGAACTGAAAACGTTTCTTCTTCTTCAACGACCTGCAGGTGATCAGGGTAAATTGCAACTTGAAGGGCTGACAAACAGGACTCTGCCTGCAGAAGCATTGCTGCCAGCTCCTTTGGCATGGCATTGCGGAACTCCGCATCTCGCAAAAGCCTCTGAGGCACCTGCGCTACACTGATGCGAAAACTACACCAATGGAGACACATTCCAAATCTGCACACAGATGCGCTATCGCATGCCATCACTTACTTGCACGCCTTTAGGCTGATGAGCTCGCTCGGCGTGAGGTGGCAAAGCTCTTGCCACCGCTCAGCACTGGCCTACACGTCCATGCTTATTGGAGGGACACCAGAAAGGTGTAGGCTTCGGGATATCAAAGGCAGCGGCCAAGCATGGAGTGGGTCCCGACTGTGCCATCTCATCTGACCAGCGGCTGAGGATCGATGCCTTTGCTCTGAGTACTCCGTTGCCATTCTGCAATTCTGCAACACCCATCCTTAGGCAGCCACCGCTGCTTGGCGTATGTGCTGCGGCCGTGGCCTTGATTTGCACCCCTGGCCCACTCATGCCTCTCAATTTGATTTCCCTCCAGACGATGTCTGCGTTGAACTGTCATCTCAGTCTTCGAGCAAATTCCCATGTTCAGCCAACTTCTCTTCCTGTTTCTTGACGGTAAGGACATGATGCCAGAGGTACCCTGTGCAAGATAAACCAAAGCAATCATTCAAATGCACGCAGGCTCTGAGAACAATCTGAAGCGCGCACGGCTGGTGCAGCTCCGGCGTTGCAGCAAGTCCAGGCAGCCTTTTGCCAAGACGTCTTTAAAGCGCTCACTGATAGAAGCTGGTTGAGATTCGCACCCTGCTAAGCTCCGGACATCTTCAAGATGCCGTACCTACGCAACTTGTCCATGGTATCCTTGCCAGCCTGTGGCAGGCATCTGCACTAGAGTTTGGATGAATGCAATCCTGCAGTGCTCGCAAAAATGAAGTGAACCATATATCATCACAAATTGCTCCTGGCAGACCCATGCTGTGCTGCGAATATCCTGTATGCCTGCTGGGACCCCCAAAGCACCGACTAGATCCGTCAAAATCTGACTCTTCAGAATTGAGACTTAAACCTGCCAAACTAGTCACTGGCACCTCGCAAAGGCAGCTGGCAAGGCGCAGGCCCAAATTTATCGAGGAAGAATCAAAGGACATGAGCCTCAAGTCGCTGCTAGCAGCCGCAGTCTGAGTCTGACGGAGCATGGCATCGCATCGATGATGTGCTCAGATTGAGGGCCAAGCAAACTACGGCACACTCGCACCAAGCTCTCCAAGGCTTCACTGGGCAATGGAGCAGCATGCTCACAGCCGAGCACGAGAACCTTAGAATTAATTACGTACCAGAATAACATAGCATGAACTCTGTAATTAATTAACGTCAAAGCAAAATGATGGATCTCGCCTGCACCAACTGAGCATCGAGGTTCCTCTGGCCACCCTGCAGCGAGGTGAGCGAAGGCAGCACGGCGCTTGCCTCGCTTGGCAGGGATAAGGTGGCGAGATGATGTGGAAGCATGCGAGGCGAGTACCAGAGGGAGGAGCGCGTTCACGGCCAACTCACGGCGCAGGCGACGCAGCGTCAGGGAACCGGTCCTGCGACCTGAGCTCCTCCGGAGGACTGCCTCCGTGCGAGGAACCTGCAAGGAGCGGCTCAAAACAATGCCCAAAATAAAAGAGGCATCCAAGCTACAGAAAAGGGATCCAAACGGCAGTTTTCTGATGTCTGCTGGGCTGCCGGCCAGGTAGCCCAGCAAGACCTTTGCCGCTTCAGGCAACTTGCCAGCCTCACGACGAATCCGCAGACTCTCTCTTAAGCATCCTTGAAGCTACGAGTAAGTAAGAAGACCAAAAACAACGGTCGGCCGGACTGTAAACGGGCGCCGGAGTAATGCAGCAAAGCTTGGAGTAATGGAAGCGGACTGAGCCCTGGAACAATGGGCATGGATGCTCGAGTTACCAGAATCTGTCAAGTATTGGTAAGATCATGGTTTGGGCATGGATGCTGCGGGCTAATCGGGTGCTAGTCGAGCTCCTCGGTCGCATAACTCCAGCGATTCAAAAACGTGATGCGTGACATACGCAGTATTTCTGGCTCCTGAAAGAAGACGACCGTGCATTTCGTGCCACGCAGGGCACATCCAGGGGGTCGGCCAAACAAGCATGTATTTTCGCATTCACGCCCTGACGGAGCCAAAAACAAGAATGCAAGGAAGAGGCCTCAATTTCACAAGGGTCGCAGCCGTAGTCCAAAAGCGCTCGAACAACCTGCCGCAATTGCAGGTGGGCCAGTTTCAATTCTTCATAATCCTGCTTTGCCACGCTGCGCATAGCCGGCCCGCCTCAAGCCTGCCACTTCTGGCTGCAATCGCAAGTGGCGGGCCGAGGGGTCCCTTCGACGATCTTGGGCCTGCACTACAGCCGGCATCAACAAGGCAACAGTTGGCTCACGTACCCGTGTAAAACACGAGGGCATGACAGCCACGTTCCAGGAGTAGCTCCACCATCTCCCTTGAGCACTGGTGCTCTACAGCCTCGTTTGGGATGGCTCCCGTTCTTCAAGCATGCAGAGTTTCTGCACCATGTGCGAAGAAAGACTATTGAGGCTTTACACTCGATCACACAGTATTATCAGGAAAAGTACGGCCACAATGCAAGAAAGCCTGAACCCAAAGCCAAGATAGCTTCAGCATAAAGGACAAGGCCCCAACCACAGCGAGCACACTGTTGCCTTGCTTGTCACAGGCTGTGAGGTCAGCTCTGTCCTGAGGGAACCACATCCTTCACGTCAACGGCTGGAAACGCACAGGCTACGCACAGGCTACTCCAAGGCACTCACCATCAGGACCCTTTTGGCAAGGAAGAGGTCATTCCGCGGCAACGCGTGCTTCATGAGCCAGTCCTTGATGCCCAATGCCCAGCCATGTCCAGCAACTGAAAATGACAGAATCCCCACAGTCCTGCGTGAGGACCATGGGAGATGGGAGGTTGGCCCGCTTTGGCAATGGGACCTTTTGTGGGTAGCATAGCCAGACAGTCTAATCCAAAACATCAAGTCCTCACAATTTGAGGCTTCCACGCAGGCTGGCGGCGATTCGGCGAGGGTGAGAGTCGTGACCCTTTCCTGGCTGCAAGACCCGGAAGTTTCCATTTACCTTCCGAGGACATGCAGCACTTTTTGTCTCAACTGGGCGCGAAAGCGAGATCAAGCGAGCCGGCGACAAGCGCCCAGAGCTACACGCATAGCTCGTCAGGCTACGGAGGAGACTGGACCGTCTGGAGGCCGAGGGGGGTTACACCATCTGCGCTGCCCCGAGGCACAGTCGTGGAGGTTGGCTTGCGCGATGCTGCGAAGACAAAGCAAGGGAAGCTCCGTAAGAGCCAGTAGATAGCAGTGCTCTACAGAAGGCATTGCAAATCTCGAATCTCATTGCGTCATCAGCTCACCTCATCCCAGGCATCGTCCATGCTGAGCACAACGGACGCCCAGTCCAGAAGGGCCGAGCGCTCGTTCTGGTCATCCACGAGGTTCGTGGGCAGCGTTTGCGCCGCGTGTAACTTCCGCAGGGCCGGAGCCAGGCCTGGAGCTACGTCCTACGTGTCTACTTCGTGTTACTTACTCCTCAATATAATCTCACTTTTCCACCTCTTGAGCCCTGCAAACACAGAGAGCTTTTTGAGGAAAGAAAAGGCTGCTCAAGCGCCTAGATACTCTTGAACGACAGCATGAGGAGCAGGTCTCCACACTGCCCAGGTCGAATGGACTCCTGCCAGGAGCGCACGCACTGCAGCTCACCTTCGTCACGAAAACACAAGAGTCTCTACAGGAATCGTCAGGAATCTGCAGAATCCTTTAGTCGCACCAAGCTGGAAATACAAATTCCTTTCAATCTTTCCAAGTTGCGCAGCCAGTTCCCTTCATCGGCATTGGCTTTACCAGACAGAATATCATCTGCTTCAAGCGCCAAGAAGAGGAGACGCAGCCCCTGCACAGCAAAGTGCGCATGGTCAAGATTGCTCGCCACCTGCTCCTGCAAGTCTTTCAAAGCAGATCTTGCCAAATCCAGGCCGGACCAGCCTCATCGGATCGCATCACTCAAGCACCGGTTCAGTAAACAAAAATGTGCAGCTTATCCTACATCATCCTACATCTGAAGACTCAACAAAAGGAGCCAACGCGGTAACATGGCCAGCAAGGCGGCGAGCACAAAGAGCACCGAGTGCCGCATGCGACAATTCCTTCTCCAGCTCCACCTGTTCGGGCGTGGCCCTCTGCCCACAGCTTGTGCACGAGAAGGCATATGAAGCCAGGCCGGGCAAGAATTGCCACTGGCTGCCCTTGCTGCATGATCTGCACGGCAGCATTCGACTCGGATCCCCATTGGAAGCTTCGTACTGGCAACGGTCGCACTGGCAAACAAATCCCTTGAGATACCACAACATACGCCGACGCTGCGTCAGGGGTGCTAGCGCCGCCTGAAGCTTCATGTAGCAAACTCCCAGAACATCTCCTGCTTTGATGGAGCGACAAGCACGAAAGTGTCCCTCAAAGCTTCCATCAGTCTCCACAGATGAGTAAACCACATTCGGAGTGCAGGAATGGTTGATCATAGTCCCCCATTTCAACAGTCCACTGGTACTTCCAGCAGCCTTGCACGGATGGCTGTTAACGCAGAAAAGGCGCAGAAGCCGAGACAGCGACCCGAAGTCCAAGTCATCCAGCCAAGGAAGCTCCTGGCTAACGAGCCATTCAGCAACTCTTGTCGTTGATTGCAGAGTTTCGGAAGATGGGTGCATGGAGTCTTGCATTGCCAGGACTTCTTGCTGAATCTCTACCTCAGAGTTCAGAAACTCGAAGAGGAGCTTGAGGTGCTCGTTGTCGAAGGTCACTGCACGTGGGAAGCCTGGCTCCCCTTGAATCTCCACTGTTCCCACTTCAGGAGGCACCGGCCGGAACATCGCCAGCGGTGGCAGCTCCGCTGGGCCCCGCAGCAAAAAGTTCTCCCGGAGGACCAGGCTGCCGGGCTCGAAGTCTGCATCTGCCAGCAGCCGCTCCTGCTCTGGTGGCGGCGTGATCTCCAAGCGCACTCCAGCCGGTGCTGGTCCGCGAGGCGCCGCCGGCGGTAGGCCCATGGAGCCCGGATCGAACTCTTAAACACTGCTCTACCAAATCCATTCAACACATCAAATGCTTCTCACATTATCGGAATCTAGGTCCTGCAAAGTTTCACTTCCGGCGTATCCTGGATGTCTGGCCACAATGCCTTAATTACCGTGCTTGGTTGGAGAGATGCTGCCAACTTCTGATTTGGTACCAGTGCCCGGTGCCCCTGACAAAACCATCCCGGGTGTTGGGAGCACAGCTGTCTCACAAAGGCCCAAACAAAATCTTGGACAGCTCGCGCAGGCCTTTGCCACCGAAAGACGGATGCCACCCTGGAGCATCTTGACCTGAACCGTCTCTGCTGCTTGCGCCTCAAGCAGTCGCTAGACAACGGAAATCTTGCATATTCTTCTACAGGGATGGCTGTGGCAGGTGCGTCTGGCTCGTCTTCCGCTATTTCGGCTTCTCTCCAGTCCTGCGGATTAGCTGCCAATTTGTGCAAGAAGCTATGTTATGCCATCAAACAATACGCGTCAGGCGCACATCATCGTCTTCTTCCTCTTCGCTTGTCTCTGGCTTTCTGCTCCGCCCCGTGAAGAGCTGGCACGGGATTACCATCACATTCCGTCGCTTATGGATGCTTTGCTCTGCGTCAAAGCACGCCTCGTACAAGTGCGCCGCGCTGGAATAGGCGTCGGAGCTCTCCTGACGTTAAGAATGTTCTTCAATCTAGGCTTTCTGTATGCAAAGAAAACATGCAGCACCGCCTCATCCAGCTGGCTGCGCGACTCCGCTGGCACGTTGACAAGCAGGCGCCCCAGCTTGCCCCTTTTCAGGGGAGCTGCCTTAGAGTCCACTTAGACGGATGAAAAGAAACCAAAGGACCATCCTGAGCACGAACTGGGCTCCAAGCCAGGTAGAGCCACTCAGCCAAGCGTGTGAGGAGCCGTAGCAAAGCTGGCAGTCATTCCAAGTCAACGTTCATCGTCATTGATCCCTTCCCTTCTGACAGTGACATGCTTTGCCTTGGCTGGTAGGCGATAACTCCTCGCATTGCATGAACCATAGCAGCATTTCGCAGCTACATGCAGCAAATGTGATAGCACTGCAGGACTCTTACGAATTGACAAGCGTTCGAGAGTTCTGCGCTTGGATTCCTGATTGCAACAGAAAGCAGCTGCCCTGCCTGAAGGGCAGGAGCTCCCTGCCCGTGGTTGGAGAGATGCGACAGGTTCGACATGTCGAAGCTGGCACGAGCGGCGTCAACTGCCAAAGCGACCGCACTGCCTGGGGAGGTGTTGAAGATTGCACGAGCAGGTATGCAGCTGTGAATCCAAGTTTCCGGACACAGCCCTGCATCCAAGAAGAGTATCCTGGCCTCGAGCTGTCACTTGATTCACGCAACCCGTCTGACAGCATGCTCAACAGGGGTCGAGTCATGTCCGCTGCCTGCTGTGACCGGCTGCAGAGTCCAAGTATTCGCTTAGCGGCGACCTTCGAGCACAGCACTGCTCAAGCCACGGACTTACTCGGGCTAGCGGTTTGTCGCGTCTTGTCGCCTCGCAGGCTTCAGGATCCTTCAGCATCTCGATATCCTGCTGGCACGTTTCGGCCTCAGGGCGTTCCCATGCATGTCCTTGCAGTGCCTTTGGCAAAGCGCTCCCAGAACAAGTCCGGTGCTGTGGCTTGTCCAAGGTCTGGAGCCTGCCAAACTTTGGCTTGGAAGCCGTTTGTTGTCATGACTGCTTAACAAAAGGCCTGGATGCACTTCTCACAAAGGAGAAATGCTGTGCGCGGGCAGAAGTATGCCACGACACGCTGTGATTCCTGCGATGCACATCAGAAGCTTCAATTTGTCGAATGGTCCAGGAAAAGACGTGCTTGCTCCTGCCCCCTGGCGGCTCTGCAACCTCCAGGCCTCAGACTGAAGACGTTGAACGGATTCACGCCTTTTGCGTCCGTTCCCCGACAGTCCAAAAGTTGCTCAGCTTGAAGCATACAGTCATCTGAAGAGCATCGTACGGGTTCACCGAACAGAGTCCCGCGGAAGCCGTTGGGAAAGCAGACTTGGTGTAACCCTGTCACGGGTGGATCCCAGCCCACAGATTTGATTTTGCAAGCCCAGCGTTCTGTGCATGCCCCACCTTCTGGGTAACACGCATGCCTGCATAATTCCAGCGCCTCTGCAAGCAAAGCGCGTCTGGCGCACTGACCACGTGGTGCTTCCGGGGAGTGCAAAGCGTCTTTTGGACATGCAATCATCTTCTTAAAACAAGCGCTACGGTTGCGAGCTGAATTTGAGATGTTCCTTACACTCCTAAGACAAGAGCATGCTGGCAAAGAAGTCTCCTTGCAGGATCCGAAAGAGGCACCTCCATTCTGGTCGGCTTTAGCTTTGGAGAGGTCACTTCCAGCTCTTGGTCCGGAACCTCTTCCATAGGAACCTCGGACTCCAGTTGTACTTGACAGGCCGCTGTGCATGATCAGGACTGTGACTGCCAGAATTATTGCCGCGAGGGCGCGTGCACACGAACTTTTGAGTTTGGCAGAGTCTCCACAACCACCGCGTTCAGCCACTTGCTGCCAGGCCCGTGCTGCAATTTGCACTGGGCCTTGAAAGGCTTGCAAGGTTGTCCATGCTGCATGGACTTGAACCAACCCAAGCACCGCTAGCACTAAGTTCGTGGCCCCAAGGCGCAAAGAGGCCTCGGCCACTGCCGCAGCTTGGCCTGAAGGCGTGACATAGCAGCACATCCTGGGAAATTCAAAACAATTCAAGATTCTGCTAAGGCTTTAAGGGCAGAGCTGTTCGCATCGAGAGCCTGGCTCCGCCGCAATGGGGCCAACTGGTATGGCCTGGGCACTCTCAGCCGCAGTAGCAAATGCTAAGGCATCACTCTATCAATGCATCCTTCATGTCTAGTCAAATACGTTAATCAATCACTGGCAATGAAGGTCGCGGTCCTGTTGCAGGTCTTGGTCCCAAGCTGGCAGCACATGTCGCACATGAAAAACTCACAGGCTTCGCAGCCAAAGCCACCGATTTTGTCACCTGAAAAGTTGGCCCTACCCCAGACCTACGAAGAAAACAAAATGTCACCACTTGGTTCAGGGCCTGTGGTTGGCCCGGACAGGAATGCTGCATGATCCTCGGGCGCCGCAGGTGCCACGTCAGTGGTAGCCTGGGGGGGTTCTTTGGACATCTTGACTGCATGAATACGTGTGCACCCCTCTCCTCCTCAGAACCTTCTTTCGTTGATTTCTCAGCCTTGCCAATGATTCATTGCTGTCTACTGCCACAAGCGTGCACAACCGCCTCTGTGCTTCCCTCGAACGGGCGTCTGCACACCGCCTGTCTTCCCACAATTCAGACAAAGACACCCGCATAATCTGTGCTCACAGCAAATGACCCAGCCAAATCTAGAGAAGCTTTGTGATCTCATCAGTCCCGTGTAACCCCCTTTCTGGACTACTGGTTCGAAATGGGCTCTGCTCGTGACCTGACAATGACGGACCACACGATAAATCTGCAGACCAGTTGCACAGTGGCCATCATGATCTAGCCGCACAAGACTGTGCGGATGAATGTCTAACCTGGAAAATCATTGCAGTTGCTGACGCGTCCACGCTACACAGGCCAAATGCAGTGCTGAGTCCTGAGGTGCACACACGAAGAGAGGAGGCCCCGTCTGTGCATTCAAATGCTCAGCGATAAGTGCAGGTGGGTAGATGTACGGCCGCCTGAGAGACCAGAACGCAGGCTTTACTTTACCCTTGTGATGCTCGCAGACAGCATAGCCGCGTGCAGTGAGCCACCGCACTGAATACGAAGGTTGCCGGAAGGCAGCACCTGCAATTGCCAAAACTCCCCTGCTAAACTGCCAAACGTCTTTGCTGGCCCGACAATCAACCCCGCCTCCACCACAACACCAACCTGGCAGGAGTCTCATGATCTGCGTTTCGGGCTTAGAAGGGCTCCATCCAGCCTTGCCCAGCGTGGCTTCCATTTGAGGTACCCATCCCCCCTGTCCGCTACAGAGTCGCATTGCCTTGGAGAGGCCTCAGTGCGAATGTAGGAAGCTCTGCGGCTGCCGTGCTTTTATCAAATGGAGTTGTGAGAGTGTTGCAAAACTAGGCAGAACCAGGCGCCGGGCTGCTTGTAAGTCTCACCTCCGAGCCGGCGGTGATGGTTGACCTCACACAGCCCACTTCACAGCCCACGGTGCCTGCAATGAATTTTGGGCGAATCCTGTGGCCCAGGCCCTCCAGGACCCTTTGGCGGAGCCATGGTGCTCACTGAACAGGTGCCGTTAGAATCAAAGCTTGCTCAATGGCTTCTGGAAAGCTTTGAGTAGCGGCAGAAGTCCTAGCAGAATAGCAGAATCAGTCAAACCTGGCATGGGCTTGCCCGGGTGGTACACAAAGTTCAGCGCGCAAGCTGTCAAGTAAAGAGCTGCAGGTACTGTAATGGCTTCTGAGGAATAATTAGTAGCCCAATATCGGGCATGCAACAGGTGAAGCTCACGTGCCGCGTCTCCGTGCTCCCTTGTGCGATTGGTCGACTCTGCTTGCTGTCCGCAGCTGTGTTTATAGCAGCGAATTTACTGCAGGAAGATTCAGCTGAATGGGCAGCGGAAATGGCAAGTTGCCATGCTTGGCAGGTTGCAAAGACATAAATGCTTCTTTTTGTCGGATGCAGCTCTGCTTCCGCTCTCAGAAGATGCCGAACCTTGCCAGGCACCAAGGACCGTCTACAATTTCATTAGTTTGCGTGACGCAGTGCTTTACTAGTAGCTCAACTTCTTAACAGTAGGGTCTCAGCGCTCTTGCGCTTTTCTGAACTCCTCCGCCAGTATACGCAGATCTTTGCGCAACCGCAGGTTGTCCTGCAAATGCATTTGTCTTGCACTTCATCAGAGTCCCTGCGCACCAACGTCTACAGAATGCGCACCATCATCGCTTCTTCGGCGACCTTTTGCAGCTCTTGCAGCTGCATCTTCTGACTCCTGAGTTGCAACTATGCTGGCTAACTTCGCAATTTCTGAGTCGCTCCTTCCAGGCCCTCGTCGTAGAAGACCAAACAGCTTGGCACCGGCTCCTGAGGCAAAGCTGGGCTACAACTAATAGAGTTGCTCTGAGCCAAGCTGTTTAGGCTGACCATTGTGCGCAGCCGCGGCGGCAGAGGGTCCTGACTTCTGCTGGCCAGCCTCGAGGTACGGGTGCAATCCACTGAAGTCTTAACATCCCAGCTTTACCTGAATTCTTTGAGACGGAGGCGGAATTCTCCAACTCGCTCTCCGTCTCTTCAGAGCGAACCCTCCGCATCAGGAAGGAGATGAGTTCCTGCACAGGTGCTAGAGTGGCACATGCCGCTGCATTCGTCTAAACATGCCTGCCTCCTTCTCTTTGCTGTCATCCAGCAGGCACTGCCTCCATGTTGTCAGAGCGACAAGCATTCATACCCGCTTCACACATCCGCATGAACTGTCGACCTGCTGGATTCCAGAAGATCGAGATCTTGTTCGAGGCCGACATTTTGCCGCTCCAACTCCTCGATTTTCTGCACCTGAGCCACTTTTCAGGACTTGTAATGCTTGCCTAGCTTATGGTAGATTATGCACAGAGGATGAACTCTAACTGCTAGGAGCAGCACATAAAGCCATCCAGATGATCCAACAGCCTGGAAATACAGGCGGAGGCGAGCATCAAAGGCAGGATAGCAGGCAGCTGGTGGCCTCGAGACCTGGTGCAGGCGGAGTCGCCTCCGCCTTCGAAGAGCGCTGGCTAGGTTCACAGTGGGTTAGGTAGTTAGGGGAATTGGAAATCTCCCCGCTGGGATGATGGAGCCTCTGGCTTCTTTTCTGGGCTTGCCAGTTGCTGCTGACGCTGCCGGATCTGAGCTCTCAAATCCTCTGCCTTCCATACAGCTGCCAACATGTTGGATGGTATGGCCGAAGGAACGTGCGCCTGCTCCGCTTTGCGGCGCTTGACTTCTTCCGTTGCGTCTCTCACTTCCTCACGTGGTGAGACACAAGTGGTGCGGACGTAGCAGGATAACCAAAGCGTCCAAGTTCCTGCAGCTCAGTTTCCATGGCCAGGAGGCTGTCGCCTCACAAATTGAAGGCTTCCCTTCCCTTGTCAAGTCATTCAAATCACGCAGCTCTGCTGCCTTCAGGTGGGCGCAGGGAGAACGTCGGGCTCGAAACAGGCCCAGAAACCTGGTACCAGGAAGCCAACGGTCTAATTCACAATAATGAGAAACCCCAGACTCAGAAGATGTATTCCAAGCGTCTAGATCACCGTCCGACCCCAGATCCCGTGAGCTGGTGATACAACCCCCCTCCGATTAGCGATCTTTTCTGGGACTTTTTGAGTTGTTGTTGGGGGTCGGGTAGGGGTCCCTGCATTCGGTCCGCTGGGTTGAGGCCACGTCCAGGCAGGGGGGCCTGTTTTGGCTGCAGTTTGCTGCATTTTCTCACTCCCCCTCCTTTCCCTCTTCTTCCTCTGTCTCCCCAACTGCCCTCCCCCATCAATGACTCAATGACTCAAGCCCGGACATGCTGCTCACCCCGGGATCAACAGCCTTGACACACTGACTGCTCCGTCCCAGAGTCCCAGCCACCCTTGCCGAGGTGTGGCTGCGCAGGACCTCTTGGCCATGGGGGGTGTTCCCCGTTGTAGTTGCGATCTCTCCTGTGGCTGCCCAAGCTTGGGCCTTGAGTGCAGAAGGTAGCTTTAGATTTTCTTCCTTGATTGAATTCATCTGCGCGCACCCCAAAAGCAAGCAGAGCCGCGGGGCAAGAGCTGGCCTCCCACTGCAAGTCGGCTGTGTCTTCGTTGGACACTTGAACATGCACGGCCTGCACAAGAAAACCATTGGCTGCAGTTGGTATCAGCGTAGCACATCTCACCATTCGGCCTGTCGAGATGGATTGCTTTCAGCATCTTCGTGAGCTTGCTGCGTTTCGCTTTCATCTGTAGGTGGCACTGTATCTTATTGGCAGCTGTCGCTTCAAAGTATTGTTGCGCCTTGCAGGAGTTCTGCGGAAAATTGCGGACACGTACTCTCCACCACTTGTGGAAGCTTATCCAGGTCAAGCTCAATCAAGTGGGACGCGATGTCCTCCTGGCCGACTTCGCTGCGAAGTCTCAACGAGCCTAAACTGAGGAAGAGCTGGCCTGCGCGAAGGCCAGACGCTCTCGTTGCAGGACGCCCCTATGTTCCATTCTCTCCTGCCTGGCACACACTGCCCAAAAGCATGGACACGTGTAGGACGTAGTCTACAGTCTACATTACAACTGCAGAGTCCTCACCAGAAGCGACTCGATCGCAGCATCACGCTTCCTCTTGTCAGCTTTAACTATCCCATTGATGTCACTTCTCGATCAAAGCACCTAGGACATTGGCCTGACTTGGCTGAGAACAGACTCGAGATGGCATTGAAGCTCATAGGTCAGGCCTTGCACGTCATGTGTTAGATACACGTTGAAGCTTGCCCACGTCACAAGCTGGGAAGAAGCGCGCGAGCTTCCTTGTGAGGACTGCAGCCTCCGACCTGGGCCAGCTTCGTTGAAGGTCATCACTCGCTTGTGGTGGTTGGGCCCTAGCCCAGATCATCAAGCTTTCCCTCCGAAGCACGGAGCTGCTCTTCCAGGTCTGACAACCTCAGTTCCGCTGCATCCCTGTCTCGGGAAGTGCAGCTGCTACTGCCCTGTGTTTGTACCCTCCCGCGTGGTCCGCCTGGGTGAACCCTTCGGCCTCTTGTCGGCTGCCTGGCGCGCAGCGCAGGCAGTGCAAGCGGCCGCGCTGGCGGAAAGCAAAACGACCTTTTCGGTCAGCCGGCCGATTTGAGCCTGGAGCTCGGAGTCTTGATGAAATGCAATGAAGTTCAATGAATGCCCATGAAGCAACAGCAGGCCTGCTGCTGGTCAACTGCTTCGCGAACACGTTCCAACTCTTTCTGCCTGCAAGCGCTCCATTGACGCAGGCCATAACTTAACCATTCTTCAGTTTGAGCGTCCAGCTGCTGCTGTACTTTGAACAGCAGCACCTGCAAGTGCTAATACAAGTGCAAAGTCCACACCAACTCCAATCACCATGCCGGGTGCGCAGTCATAACATCCTGCAGTCACTGATCAAAAAAATCGAGGAAAATGTAAGGCACAGAGCTTTGGCCAGCCCACGGTCCTCTGTCGGCCGCGG